TACAACATTTTTTATTTGACATACTTTTATTAAACAATTATGTAGTTATTCGTTGACTCGTTCAGAAATCGATTTTTGATTTTTGTATACATATTAATTTGTTAAAAATTTTTAATTCTTATTTCACGTACTTTTTGATTACAATTTTCATAAATACGTATATGCTGTCCGACTATTTAAATATATTAGTCCAAGGAATCTATACACGATGAGTATAGTTGTAAATACATAGTTGTAAATATTTCCTCTACATACAGTGACTATTAATTTACATTAATATTTAGATATCTTCCAAAAATTCAATAACTTTTTGGACTAAACGGCTTGAATTTTGTTTCAATGATAGAGGGACTAGTCTACTACATAATGACTATAATGCTTTTCTTCCAATTTGACTATTACTTGGAATGACAAAAGAAAATAGAAAAGTAACATATTTTAATTTTTTATCTGACCCCATAACGAAAATTTAAAAAATGAGTTTTAAAAATATTTGTGAGGTATCAAATTCATTATTGTGACAGACTGCAATGCGATTAGAGCCACCGAAAATAAAGAGGACATTCACCCCCGTGTTGCTGTCATTCCAAAGTAACAGGAAAATTTTAAAAAAGCATTATAGTCATTGTCTAGCAGACAATGTATCATCTAAAAATATTCAAGTCATTTAGTCCAATTCTAGAACAGTTATTGCGTTTTAAAAGGTGTCAGAATATTAATCAGAGTCACAGTATGTAACTTCTTGTAAGCTTTATGCAATAAACATGACAATCTTTTAGAAACAGTATCGACGAGTTGGTAATGTTTTTTTGATTAAGAGAAGCCTAAACACGTCATAAATCGACTAAAATGGACTATGTGACATTCCAACGCTTCATATGAAGTTCACTATCCAACTTTACTTTCGTCTTTCGACGAAATATATATATACAGGGTGTCCCAAAAATGTCTCGCAATCCGGAAATGGCGGGTTCCTCAGATCATTTGAAGCAGCTTCTTCCGTTACAAAAATTTTCTCCGAGGCACCGTTAACGAGTTATTAACGAAAACAGTGACCAATAAGAATCGAGTACGGTTGACGTATTATATATATATATTTCGTCGAAAGACGAAAGTAAAGTTGGATATATATATACATAGTCTAATTTGCGTAATTCTCAGTGTATAAGCTTATCATAAGAAGTTATGTAGATGTGAGGAAATTTGTTAACATTATTAACCGCTGTGCTCACGCTAACATGTTATGTCGCGACAACGATACTGTTCGTGCAAGGTTACAGACGAGATATCTCGCGACGTAATTCAGCTTGTGCAATGCCAGTCGAAACCCAGTTCCGCTCATTGGCACGGCTGTCTCGCACCAGCTGATCTCGTCTCTCATTGGTAACTGTTTTTCGATAATATATCGTAAACAATGTCGCGGATAGCATTTTCGCTAAGGAAATTTATTTTTTCATCCCTTTTCGGTTATCAACACAATTACATATGTATGAAAATTGTAATTAAGAAATACGTGAAATAAGAATTAAAAAATTTTTAACAATTTAATATGTACAAAAAAATCAAAAATCGATTTTTGAACAAGTCAACAAATAACCATGAGATGTAAAATAAAAAATTTTTAAGATGATGTAAAATAAAAAATTTTGTAACTTACAGTCCGTTCCTGCATTACTTAGGATCCCATGTTTACGCTGTTGCCGACAAGCAGGAAAGAAATTACTTGAACGCTTTCGTCGAAGGCATCGATAGTTTTTATAGCAATAGAGAGAGAACGCGCAACAATGTACTTTTAAAAACTGGCGACACTGCAAATTTAGCCATCTCAGACACACACTTTTCTCTGTTGCAGTCAGATGTAGTTCTCTAGCTAATCATTCCATTCCACAGCATTTTCTACAGAGTCGGTAATTCAGACCCTGAGACCAAAAAGGTATGCATGCAATATCTATGCCGATCCTAAGTCTGCGATTTCAATTAAAAAATATTTCGAAATATACTTTAATCAACGCAATGTGTGCTTAACAAAAAGTATATTGGCCAATGCAAATGTTATCCATCATCCAAAAAAACCCAAAATTTCTTCATCAAAAACTGAAACAACAAACGACCATCTTGTAACCTCATGATTGCTTCGAAAGCTTCGTGGTTGTAACAAACTATATGTTGGTCAAATGCTACAAATATCTTTACAATAACCTAAAATTTGACATTTCGAACACCGTTGAAACATAAATTGGACTTTTAGGAAACAAAATTTTCAGCTCCTGAACTGATCATATTGTAGCTGATTCGATATTGCAACGTCTATTTTAATAATCCCAACCCCTAAAAATTGTAATACGTATAAGAGTTTTTTCTATATTTATGTGCTAAAACAGTGTATTGGATGCTAAAAATGCAACAAAAAGCCACAAAATGCAAGAAATTTTCTTTGGCAGTAGTAACTTCTTAAATAAAGTAAGGAAGCTCATTATTTAGTGTGAAGACTAGGGTAACAGTCCATTTTTATGTTTAATATGACTTGTAGATATGAATAGGTTTTAGACAGTATGATTAAAATTTGAAACATTTTTTATTATTTTGTATAATTAATGAAGTGTTGCTGATGTCTCCATTTTATTCTTAAGGCTTACGTACACAATGCACGACCTACAATTAATACGAAATCCGATGTTTCAAAAACCGCCCTAATAGAGTCTTCATATGAAATCTAATATTGAAGTCTCCTTACGTTGTATCGAAGGACGATTTTTTTTTTTTATTAATAAATACCCATTTCAGAGTTCTACCAAACCAGTCGACAAACAGCTCTGACATATTTGGGAAATTTTGTCGACTTTTTTTTTTTAAATTCATATTCGTTCCATTTTCATTCCAAACCAAACAGCTCTGGCATATTTGGGAAACTTTGGTTGTATTGTAACTGTAATTGTTTTTGCAAAATAACCTCTCAAATAAAAAGAAAAGATTATTTTTACTGTTAAATATATACTGATACATTTAACAGTAAAAATAATCTTTTCTTTTTATTTTGCAAAAACAATTGCAAAAGTGTATAAAAAGTATAGTCGCTATTCTTACATAGGAGATCATTTTCGTACATCATGTGATAACTAGAAGTGTGCAAAACCGTCGGAGTCTCGGGATCCCAAAGTTCGGGACTGGTTAGAAAGAGTCAGGCGTGATCCCGATACATTTCACTATTCGAGATCTCGAGCGTTTCGGGTATCGAAAGTTTCGGGACTGGGTTCAGGTCTCGGGTGGTCTCGAGCTCTCCGCATGAATGGAATATGTCGGTCGGCTTGAGTGGTTCCATCTATAAGCATCGCACGCGATTGTGGAGCGTTATTCGAAGTCACTCAAGCCGCTTACATATCCCATTCATGCATACAGCCCGCTATCACCCGACACTCGAATCCACTTCCGAAATTTTCGAGACCCGAAACACTCGAGATTTTGAACAGTGAAATGTATCGGGATCTCATCCAAATTTCTCCAACTTGTCTCGATCTCGTAACAACGGGTATCCATACACACTTGGTAATAACACAATGTAAAAACTTCTACATTTTCAGACCATAGTCTTTTAAGAACGAATGTATATTTCGGCAAAATACAATAATAAGTTTCGAAAGGATGACGTTAGACGATGAGAGAAAGAAACCACGCGATCGCAATTGATCGATAAACAATGTTGCGTATCGTATATGTACTTTGGACATTGCCACAGGGTATGATCTATGTATATCCTGTTTTTCCCATCTACACGTACATTTAGGGTCATCTATTACATTAACTTTCGCAAGTGAAAAAGTAAGTCTATAATACCCTGATATAATCCAGTAAAATATAACAATCGTCTCGTGGGATAAATTTATGTTACTGAGTGAATACGGTCACGCACATTTGCCTATGTATATGCAGTGTTCATAAAGGCATGATAGCACAACGAACACATTTCATATAATGCACAAATATCTGTATAGTATGACAACGTCAAATATAATGGTAACAAATCAATAATTGGATAAATGCTAACGTATTAGTCTGTGGTTTGTAATACTTCTATATCTCGAGAAAATAGCGTGATCTCTAGTATACAATCATGTATTCGTATTTTTCGTTTTACTAGCAATTTTCATAGTGAAACAGGCTGTATATGTTCACAGGTAAAACAGGCTGTATATGTTCACAGGTAAAACGTCGAAAAATATAGATGCACGGTACTTTCACAAAACTGGTACACTAAAAATTTGAATATGATATTAATTACACGATATCACGATATCATAAAACCACAGTTTACATGTAAAGGATAAAGTATCATTTGTAATCTACCAATCATATTATTCGTATGTTCGGTAGATCAATATTTCATGAAATTCCTCACATCAAAATCGGATGCACTTGTGGATTCAGTACAGTTGTCACAGTTTTCACAGAATCGATTCGTAACGTAACGAGAAAAACTTTCAAAATGTTTCTCGAAATTGATCAGTCAAATTATTTGTTGTCATTGACAATTTGTTTAATTAAATGCCAACACAAAAGTCGGCGTTATTTTTTGAAACGGGGCTAAGGTGTAGCCAAGCCCTTATTCACATTGGAAGGGAAGAACTAAGTGGTCAGACTCGAACGTAGAGAATATAAAATCGAAATGACAGAAAACTCACTCATCGATTTCCTGTTCCTCCAGCAAAAGACTCATATTTACACTTGCACAAGTTGATCTGCTGCACGAATATCAGACGAACAAGGAGAAACTTGATTCTCGTTACTGTAGAGATGTAATCCTTTCAATGATCCTCCGTAGGACTAGAATTGCAGAAACGATGAGCTGGCTAGAAGTATCACGAGCGCGCGCGCGGTTTCTCTTCATCGCGCCACAAACCGTCCTTTTCTCAATGACGACATTTTCGCCTTAATACAATACCTGCTCGCTTAGAAATGCGCCGCTAGACGGCCCACTTTTTCATTGGTCCATATTTATTGCTCACATTCTACTAGAGTAATGTTTTTCTGAATTGTAACTGGCACCAGTTAATCAGAATCAAACGTGTATCTTGTTACAAATAAACATTTTAATAATCTTTGAAAATACTCTAAAATTCTTCGACGGAATAGTATCACATACGTATATTACAAATTTTCAGATTGTTACAAACAGTAATCAAATGTTAATTTCAAAATAATTTATTTTTAACGTAATTCATTTATCGCAAAGTATTTTCATTTTTTAACTTCTTTATTAATCATTCTGTTCTTCAACAAATTCTACTAAAATTATTCTAAAATATCTGATATTTATATGAATATGTCTCACACACACATACAAAACTTGGATGCACTTCGACATTCACAACTAAGAGGTTAATGTAGTTCTGAATATTTGTACACATTCTTATTCCAAGATAAACAATCGATTTTATCAACGTTTACAAGGTTTTACAGTAGAAAACATAATTATTATTACTTCCTATAAGGATATGTGCAAGAATCTCTATAAAATTTATCACTATACCTATATATATATATACCAATGTTGTTTATACTAATGATCAAGGAACAATACAAGGATTTATAAAAAAAAAGTTAGTATAATCAAGATTTAGCAAGAATTACATGCAAACTTACCTTAGAAAAGAACTGACTGTTTAAACTTTATTACGGTAAGCTAATTAAAAACAATAATGTAAATAGTGACGATATAAATGACTGATTTAAATTTGGAGATTATACATTGTCTGGTAAGCAGAAAAAGGAGAGTACAAATTGAATTTCGGCTAATATAATATATCTACATTCAAAATCTAACACCTAATCTACGTCATACCATGTAATGCGTCATCAGTGCTACATTATTCATATAAATAATATAAATCATTTATAAATTAAGATATGCAATAAACAATTATAGTTATTTCTCAGATGTGTATATGAAACTATAATATACATTAATATTTAGATTATTTTATTAAATTATATTAAGAATGTATTGAATCATAATATGTATATTTATATTTGGAAAACTTTCTTCCTATGTTAGTTACTACGCTAACTATCATTCATGAATGTGAATATCATATATTACATCCATGTATCTAAAAATTTCAAAGCAACTAAATTTTGATACTCTTAAATGAACATTAACAGAGGACTACTACATTTCATATTAGAAGATTTCTAAAATTTTTGTAAACTGTACAAAAACTTTGTTTAACACAGGGATCAACAAATCCATCTATGTGGTATCAGGGATTAATATCCATTGGGGAAAAAAGAGTTACTAGGCCTCGGGATAGCGAAAACCAAAGGGACAAGGTTTTAGTTACTGGTTATAACAGAACTGAAAAACAGGGGCTTGTAGAATATCTTTATTTTCTGTTGTCATGATCTGAAGTTTATTCTCAAATGCATATGCAGATTTTTATTGTTCATGAGGTCCATAGTGTTATTATATTATACATATCTTCGAAACACGTAAAACTGTAAGTGATACATCTCAGAAAATGATTGATATCAAAAATGATATTGATGCAGTGTTAAATGTCAGCAATAAATACTTATCCGACTTGTGTATAAAACAACGCTGTTGTGTATAAAACACTCGCTGTGCTACATAGGTTGGCAAAGATAAAGTGAATTTATAGCACCCACACGTTAAAGAGTCGCAGAAAGAGCCTTAAACGACGTTTGAAAAAACAACTGATAGGAAAAAATAGCTAATAATATCATTAATGCTATCAAATAGCTGTGCAAATAGCATTGCGCAATATCAACAAAATGCGATAGCTTTTCCTGAATGTTGAATAAGTGCTTTCTGTATTTGTATAATATATCTGAAAAATTAATGATAATTATCATGAACTGAAAATCTGCAATGACCCAACTTATGTTGATGTTTAGAGACTGGTCATCGGATTAATGATGGAGTCATTATACACAAAAGTTTTTATAAAATCTAATCAGGTAAAATAAATAAGTGATATTATGTTTGCACATTCAGTATCTACATTTAAAACTGTTAACATTTTTAATGAAAATATGGAAGGAAATTTGCATACAATTTGGAATGAACGCAGACTATAAAAACAAACCAGGAAACGATGAGGAAAGAAATATTGTTTTTGAATTAACGAAAAAATTAGTGGTTATGATTTTACATATACAAGTACATGTATGTTTTTAATACATGTTCAAAACCGCTATTCTAGAAAAGATACATGTCTAAGAGATTAAATATTCTATATTCTAGATCTTACTAATATAACATACAGGATGTTTCAGAAATACAAGTCAATATTGGAGGAAATAAATGTACATACTAAGTAAGTAAAAAGTCTCTTATGATGGTAGCCAGAAAAATAAGCTAATTTCGGATTGGACAACATTATAATTCTGAACTACAAATATGATGCAGAACTGCAGATGGGTTTGCTTTTTTATAATGAAATTAAATTATAATTAAATTATATATTTATATATAATATTATATAATATAAGTTACAAATGAAAATCATTATTTGTTAGAAATTATATAATTACACATCATCATCGCCTGACATTTAATCTTGTACAATTATATCGTTTAATTCATGTAGCATGTT